GTGTCGGACACACAACATTGAAAGTTTCTGGATCCACAACATTGAAAATTTCTAGACACACAACATTGCAAGTTGATAAAAGCGTTGTAATAAAAGAGCTGTTGCTGCTCTGATTATATGTTACTTACATTCATAATTTTGCTTTGAATAAAAATGTACTGAAAAGTACTGATTTTTTTAGCATGAAAAAGTCTAACATACTGATTTCGTACATAAAAAATCTGGCAACCCTACATATGGCAACCTTCTGCGCGGGCTCTTGTTAGACTTAAATGAATTTCGCCCTACTCTAATGCACGCATATATTTTTTATTCCAAACAGGTTTAAAAACACAGTTGTCAATGGACAGTAAATGGATCACTAGTGGGAGTTTTGGATCTCGAGATGCTGTACTTGTCTTTCGCTCCACTCCTTTGAAGCAGAAATCTATAACTAAACCACTATTAACAAAAGGCGAACCTTCAAATATTCCCTCGGAAATGGAAAGTCTTAGAGAACATTTTGATAAGGAACACGATCCTCCCTTTAATATACTATCGCAGTCTACACCACTGTTGAAAACAAAATTACCAGACCAATTAGTAACCAAAACACCAAATTTTGACAAAGTTCTTGTATCCATAAAGGAAAATATGGGGGAGAAATTATCATTCCAGAGCCATTCAAAATTTATTCAAAAAGAATATTGCAAACCAAAGAGGCATTTAGACAGTTCTTTATTACGTCACAATTCAATCTCTACTAGTGATGAAGTTAAAATAAGTAACAACCAAATGAGCTTAATTGCTGACAAATCTAACACCGAACGCATCGATGTTAATGTCGGTTGCGAAGAAGAAAGTAATTTAAGTGAGGAAGATGATAAGAAAGATGTTGTATATACACCTAATATGCCAGCTTTTAAAATGAGAATAAAGTTTAAATTTATTCAAACCGAAACAAAACTTTTGAGAAAAATCTTTAATCGCCATGGTTTGTCAGAAGCAAGGGACGATGAAAATTTCAGTATTCTTTGGACGGGAATACATATAAAGCCTGACATATTGAGAAACCTTGCGCCTTATCAACGTGTTAATCACTTTCCAAGGTATAAAAGCTTATTTTGCCATTGTCGTTATTAATTAATTTAACATTTTATAGGTCTTATGAATTAACCCGTAAAGACCGTTTGTACAAAAATATTGAAAGGATGCAACATTTTCGAGGTACAAAGCATTTTGACATAGTGCCTCAGTCGTTTATACTTCCAGTTGAATACAAGGAGTTAGTCTCAGCTCATAATAAAAACCGCGGGCCTTGGATAGTAAAGCCAGCTGCCTCTAGTCGTGGACGGGGTATTTTCATTGTTAACACAGTAAGTGGTATATATTTTTTCGTAAATCTAATAGCCTTATTCATAAAAAATTAAGTGGCTTTACAAAAGGTTTACAAATTGAAACATGTATGAAAACATCAATTTATAAAGCTATTTAAACCTACTTTATTTTTTATGAATAAGGCCATAAGTATATACTTACATATATACTTAAAGTGACTCAAACAAGTGTTCACATGTTGTTTTTTTTTAATATTCACAATGTATTTCAAGTAAAATTTTTTTTTTCTACAAAAATATTGTCGACGCTTTAACAAACACCAAGCCTTATAGATAACTAGCAGACCCGGCGGTCTTCGTCCCGCCCAAAATTAGATGTTTAGTCCACGTTTACGATTTCCACTGGCACATCCGTCGGCTAAGATAATCTTGTGGTGGTCGTTTGCCGCCTTAAATAACCTAACAAAAGTTTTATGTTCATGAAGAAGTTCCCTGGCGGCAACAATGATCCGGATCTATAGTAAATCTGCCCTAGAATCTTTACTTATAATTGGTGGAAATTTCAAAATGGGTGCGTATCATTGTTCAACAGAAATCCTATATATGTATGTACATAGCTTTTGTAGTTGAAGTTTATCTTTGGTTTGTTCTACTTTCGCAGCTCTTCTGAATCGTATATGTTATTGCGAAAATGCAGTTTTTTTTATTACAACGCTTTTATCAACTTGCGATGTTGTATGTCCAGACCACCATATACTATAAATATAATAAAGGTATTTATGGCAAACCTAGTCCAGATATCAACCTCGTCGTAGGTATCATATCAAAGACATACAATTAGAAAAACTCTAGAGATAGATTAATTGCTGCTATATGTATGTATGTACATATGTAAGCATATACTAAATGTGAGAAAACAACATTTTGCTTGCATAGTCTTCTGTTCTCTTTTCACTGCAAGTTGAATTATTTTAGTATCTATTGTAAAATTTTATACAGACAAGACTAAAAAGTATAAAATAAATTTAAAAAAAAAACTTTTTAATGTACCAGGCTTTTATGAATGGACTAAAATTTGCAAATAATATTCCTTAGTCCCATATAACTTGTTTTGATTACTTTTGATTTTGAAATTTTAGCAAAAGTCATTATCAACAATCTATGAGATTGAAAATGAAAAGCGTGGGGCGCATGTAATAGGCCTGATTTGAAATTGAAGAGTAATATATATATATATATATGTAATTTGTACTTTCGCTGTAGAAATTTTAGGTCAATGTTTTGTATGTAGTTTGAATATTGTCAATTAAATCTAATGCTTTGTATTGCATGCGCACCACGTTTTTCGTTTTCAATCTCATAAATTGTTTATAATGACTTTTGCTAAAATTTCAAAATCAAAAACAAATTCTATGGGACTGAGATATATTATTTTTTCCAACGCTTTTATCAACTTGCAATGTTGTATGTCCAGACCGCTTTGAATGTTGTATGTGGTCTGGACCATTTATACCAGCGGCATTTTTTTGTAAGCGAGCGACAAAAGAACGCTTAACTCGGGTAAAATTTCCTTTTAGCTACTTAAGCAACCCTGTTGGTAGCTGGCAAAAAAATGTGATTAGTTTTACCAATTTAAATGAGTAGTTATGCGAGGTATTTGCTTAATACATATACTCTTTTAAAATATAAGTCACGTATAAAAGGAAGCAAACATTTCCCTCTCCACTTTCCCATAAAAATTCACTATAGAGCAGTTTTTTCACTTACCAACACTAGCCTTCAGGTCGCGTATTTTTTAACCGACCTGGCTGAGCTTGGATAAATAGCCGAGTTTGTGTTGTTGCTTTACGTGTATTTCGTCATTTAAGCGAGTGTACTTTTGTAGCTCGGTTGCAAAAGAATGCACCTACTATTAATGTTGCAAAGCTATTTATGGCAAATTCTAGACCTCAACCTAGTCTAGATATCAACCTCGTTGTCAGTGTTGCCAGAACTTTTTTGACGAACCGGCCAAATTGGCAAATAAAACCGGCTAAAAACGGCTAAAATGTTTCAACTAAATTTCACATGTTTTATTTAAATAAATCACGAGTAAGAGGACTATTTCTTGGAGAGAAGTTATAAATTCGAAACGGAAAAAAATTTTGCCAGCAAGAATTTGCAATTAGGAAAAACATGATTTTGGCACATGGTTGGATTTTTTGTCGACAATAATTTGAATAAACAAGATCGTTAAATTTGAAAATTTACAAACTGGAGCGATTTTTAAATTAAAAATGTAAGTTAATACTTGTTTCCTTAATTAATTTAGTTGTTTTTGTTCTTTTTTTGGCCTTATAACAATTATATTAAACAATTTATATTGAGCTCGAGGCCGT